CCCCCCCCCCCCCCCCCCCGACACTCTAAACCCTCTTTGATCCAGGGTTTGCTCCGACCGCAGCTTCAATGTCAGTTTCGGAATTCCTTGGGTGAAGCCGCCCGCCATTCTCCGAGTTATACGTGTGCACACGTATGGACTACGTCTTCTCACTTGACTGTCGCTTGTCGAGTCGGTTCCCACATCGTTTTACAGCAGAGAATGCCAAGGCAGTGTAAAGCCACCTCGGGTTTTGGATCCGCAGCTCACGGCAGGAGACGCGCGAGGCGAATCCTTTGGATGGGCCTTTGCGTGTACAGGCCAGGTGAGCAAGCTGAAAGGGGTACTGAGGCACTGCCCCACATGTGTTGTTGTTGTTGCTGCTGTTGTTGTTGTTGTCGTTTGATGTCGTTAGCTTCGTCGTAGGGGTAGGAGTTTCTGTGGCAGTAGCAGGAGCAGTATCAACAGAGGTAGCAGTAGCAGCAGGACCAGGAGCAGCAGCATCAGTGCAGCAGCAGGTAGTAAGGCCAGCCCTTGGGTAGGAGTTGCAGTTCTGGAAGACCTTCAGCTCAAGCATCCACAGGAAGCTTCAGCACCGAAAAGACAGTGAATGAACCTTTCGTGAAGGGTTAAGAAAAGCAGGGAAAGTCTAGATCAGGGTGGTTTGCTCGGGGCCGGCAGCCCTGGCATTTTATTGTCGCTTGCAGGCAGCAGCTCCCCAATCGCGCTCATCACCAGGGCGTCTGGTGCGGCCCCTGCTGAGCTCCTCTCCAGAGGTTAAGCCCATCACAGGCAGGGGTGTTTCGCACCCTTCAAGTGCTGGAAGATTCTTCTGAAGACAGGTGTGGAGTGCGTCTGTAAACATCCGGACGAGTGAGGCTTTACCCAGCGGGTTGTGCTTTGGCACTGACAGTCTTTGTATGTATGGCAGAACAGAGGCTAGTAGCATGTTCCAAACCTTGATGAGGATAGCCAGGCTAGCCTTAGTATGAACTTTAGAAGCCGGGCTGGCACCAGGCCATCTGCGCAAACCCAAAAGTTGGCCACACTTGTGGTTTCTCTCTGTATCGACTAGGCCTATTATTGCGAGTCTCGCCTGCTGCAAATGGAGTAAACGCCTTGAGCGTTGCTTATTGAAGAGATTCTCTGGGCATGGTTTCGCAATGTCTCGCAGATGTCTCGCAGATGTCTCGCAGTCTGCCCATACGAAGCTTTCAGCTCGTGTGGCTTGTGTCACCTGTAGGACGAGAAGGCGCCTCGTGGTGGTACGGGTTTTCCTCCAGCAACAGACTACCAGGCCTTCGGGCCCTAGGGATGATCACCTCGTTGCTCAACAAACTGGGGGCCAGATCACAAACGTGTCACCCATTGCCGATGTCCCTCGGACGTTGCCAAAGTGTATGCAGACCCTTCGAGCTGCAGCGAAATCACACAGGGTGACCGTGTGTTGGGGATCCAGTGTCCGAACTTGAAAAGGCTCTGAAGTCCGAGTCTGGACACCAAGGCCGGGCTCCTGCATCGAAAGGCGCATCTTGCTACCTCTGGTAGCCTCGGCCCTAGGCCTCATGGATAACACGCCTCTGCACCGCATCTGCAAATGCGAATGGCAGAGGTCGCGGGCTTGGAGCCTGAGGCGACGAGGCCGGCATACTGCGCCGCAGAGGCGGCTCGCACTTCTTTAGCAGAGCGAAGGTCTTCTGCTCTCAAACGTGTAGATTTTGCGGCGTTTGCAGCGTGCAGGTCATGACAATTCCGGCCGTCAACTTCGGCAGAGCCCTGCAGCCATGGCCTTCACGACAAGTCGAGTTGACATGGCCAAGCGAATGGTCGCAGAGGTCAGGCGAACTCTGCCGCTTGCTGTGGAAGCCTCAGAGGATTCCAGAGGAAGCGTATGGTACCGTTCCCCTCAGCGACTCGCCTCAGTGCCACGTGCTCATTGGCGGAGTGTTGTGCGTGATCATGCAAGGCTGGTGCAAAAGACCAAGCAAGCAAGAGCAAGCACAAAGGCACCAACATGCACCGCCGTCGCATAGTGTGCGGAGACGGAGGCGTCAGCTGTTCGACCTTTCCCAATAAAGGTTCTTAGCTTCACAAAAGGAGTCGCATACATGTGTGCCTTGGCCGCCTTGCTCGATGGCGCGACGCCTGGGCCCCGGCGGCGCTGCCGAAGGCCGGGTGGCGCGGCTCCGCCAGGCCAGTACAGGGTCGCTGAGCGTCGCTGAGCGCTGTGGCGTCAGTGGCTTCGGCACAGGTGGCACTGCAGCAGGCAGCTGAGGCCCTGGAGGCGGCGCATAGTATGCGAGGGCAGAGAGGGCGACGGATGCACTCTCGGCTCGGCCTCGCGAGGCTGAGCTGGCGATCGGCCTCGAAAGGATCGACCTCGTCACTTCTTTGCTGCTCGGACGGGGAGCACGGCTCGAAGGTCCCGCAGAAAACGGAGGACAGTGGAAGGCCGAGACACACAGAAGCACGCAGACACGCACGGACACACACGACGTAAACGGGCCTGTCTGCTGTTTCAACGCTGGCAGGCGAAATGGTCGGACTGGTGGGGTCAACAGGTGCAAGATGCTGCTGCTCGCTTGAATGTGACAGCGAAGCTGTCCTTGCTTGATGGGTGTTGAAGTCGACAGCCGAGGTTTCAGAAACTGGCCCCGTTCCGCTTCCCCTCATGTTGTGCCATGATCCACTGCCGGTTCCCCGAGTGGTCGATGCTGGGACAGGGAAGCTAGTGCTGCTCGATGAATTTGTCCGCCTTGAGGGACATCACTGGGCTTCGTCATGGACGAAAGGGCGAGGGAGCATCTATCGCCTGGATCGCTACGGCCATCGAGGCGAATCCCTGCTCCTTCCAAACTTCTGCCGGGTGGAAGAGCCAGATCTCGGTGTGCACCTGGAGACCGAACACGGACGTCAAGACACCTCGTGGCTTTGCCCTGGATTAGCCAAGCTTGCTGCGGATGTAGAGCCGCGAAAACTCTCTGTGTCTGAACTTCTGCAGACTATACAGTCATCCAGCTCCATCGAGATTGTCCTTCCAGTGGCCAAGCTGGGCTTTGATTCTGCGCCTGCTTTTGAGGGTTTTAGTCGAGCTGCCTCAAGACGGTGTCCATTTTACATCAAGGCATTTGACATGGGCGCGAGATTGGAGCTCTCCATGGTGCCGTCGTTGAAAACACGCACAGGAGACCCAGATTCCGTGGATGCAGAAATCTTGGCTGAGCGACTGAGTGCGCAGCTCTTTCCTGTGCAAGGGCAAAGGGCGCGACTGTGCATTCGCCGCCTGGGTGGCCCTCAACTGGACGCTCGAGGTCTTGCCGGAGCCTCCCTGCAAGACATCTGCCGTTACCTCACCCGCGAATGGGTCAGAGACCTTGTTGCCGCACCCAGCAGCTGGGCACGCCTGGATGCATATGCTGAACGCAGCTGCTACTTGGAGGCGGCCCTGGGTCCCGTGCCAGGTTTGGGCAGTTTCGTCCCGTGGAAATCACAGGAGAATTGTGATGTCTGTGGTTCAGCAGCGGTGGGCTCGCAGGTACCTGAGAAGGAAGGTACCGCACTAGCTGTTCGTCGAGAATGCGCAGCTTTCGTACCCGGATCGCAAGCCTTTGCGGCAAAGCAAGCGCTTGCTCAGCACACGTCTCGGCCAGAACATCAGCTGGTTGGCTCCTTTGATTCGGGCTTGGATGATTTACTCGGCTCTGGTGGAGATCAGACTGAAGATCCTGCTTTCTCGGGCAACTACATGTGGCCAGAGGGCACCGTAGGCAAGAAGGATGTTGTGCTGGTGGCAGGTGGCATGTTGTCATTGCGGCCACCTAATAAGGGTTGGCCGCTGAATTTGGATACCGAGCTTCACAAGCAGCTGCGGCTTGTGATCGGCTGCCAAGCAAGATGCCTGAAAATTCTTGGCACAGCTGCTGAGGCTGAAAGCACGAACATTCTGGTCAACTTTGTGTTTCTGCATCCGGTGATGTTCTTCGCCGGCAAGGAGCACGAGGTCATCGAAGTCGAGGAGGCAGATCAGGATGTGGACCCCATCATGCCGTTGACATGGTATGAGAATCTTCAGAAAGAGCTGCGAAAGATGGCCGAAGCGCAGCACGAGCGGAAGACTTGGACAAAGGGTGAGCAGGATGTTGCAGCTCCACTGCTTCTGGTCAGTGACCTGAAGCGCGTCGTACTGCCGTGCAGCCTTCTTCTGATGAGAAGTCATCAGGAGTTCTGCGTCTCTGCAGCTTTTGAGAGGTCTCCTAGCCAGGAAGTCCTGTTGATGCATGGTGACGTCAATGCCTTGCTGGATCAAGTTCGAGATCGTGAGCCGCAGGCAGCGACACCTGCGACAGCCGCAGCAAGTGCTGCAAGGCGGCGAGATTCTGAAAGGGAGCGCCGGTCCACGGTGGCCGAGCTTTCGCAAGAAGATCTTTCCACGGCCCGCAGGCGCATGACCGAAGTGTCGAGGAACAGCGAAGCCGAGACGAACCTGGGAAATCTGGAACTGCCACAAGGCTCGAAGGACTCGAAGGAGTCGCAGGACAGCCAGAGCCAGGGACGGGGACCTCAAACGGAGCCTTCGGAGCCGACTCGGAGGAGTTTTCCTTCAGAAAGCCTTCAAGAAAACGCCGACGAGGCGCCCGAGTTTCCTGAGCCCACCGAGCTGGGCCACGGAGGACGGGTTTAGGGACAGGCTCATGCTCAGAATGTGAAGCATTGTGGACACAACAGCATTCATTCGCTTCGTATTTTTGTTGGATTCCTGAGCCCTCTGTGCTGATAAGCCCGCCAGCTTTTGCTTTATTTCTAAGATTCCAGTTTATTTGCAAATTCTGAAGCAGACTTGGGAGGGGTGGAAGCCTTCCAGGAGTAGCAAGGGTGGAGCCTCCACTGGCGCCTCATGGCGATCCTCGTCAGCCTGACAGTCCTCAAAAGTCTCAGATTTCGGAGGCGCTTGAGGGTAGTACTAAACTTGAAGGAGCAGAGGCCCAGCAAACGCAAGAAGGACAGCAGGAAGAAGTGGCTCAACCTGCCGTGGGAGGAGATGGTGAGACAGTCATGGAGCAAACGTTGCTCGAGGAAGATCTTCTGGCTGCTCCAGATGTGCAGTTGGAGCAACCGCAAGAAAGTGCAGCCGCCAGTGCAGAGCACGGGAATTGTAGCCCGCAGCTCCAGCAAGGGCACCTGGTGCCGCCAGTGGCGCTGGTGCCACCTGCGCCCCCGAATCCATTCCCGCCTTCGAGGTTCGCCGTCAGAGAAGCCGTCGTTTCAGCTGTTTTGGCATTCCGGCCGACTCTCGAGCAACTGGCGGTTCGTCTGCAGGGCCTTGTCGAGAAGGAGGCATTGGAGGCATCTGACAAACAGGCCGAACGTGTGGAGTCCCTTCTGAACCGATGGGGCTTGGAGCTGTCGGAAGGCGAAGGCGGCATGCCACCGCCAACCAGGGCTTGCCTTGCCATCCTGAGCCGGGATCTGCCAAAAAAGGATGGGTCCGGGCCCTGCCCGAGCGCCCTAGACATGTCTGTCCAAAGTCGCAACTATCCTGTAACAAATGTGCTGCTTCGGTACGTGCCACAGCATCTGAGTGTACCTCTCATTGAGATTCTGAATGGCCAAAACCCCTTCACCGGTCAGAGCCTCTTATATGCCGCGGTGCGATATTCCAATAGGTACACGCTCGCGGTCGTGGACGGGCTCCTTATGCGTCGTGCTGACATCAACGGACCTGGCGCCTGGCTTGAGGAAGCCGAAGCAATGGAACCGATGGTCGCTGCATGCGTGCGCCGTGCTGACTTGCCTCTTGTCGAGCGGGTGCTTTGGCACCAAGCAGATGTGAACGCGAAGTCCGATGGCAAGCCAATTTTGCAGATTGCCGTTGAACGTGGCAGTGAAGAGATCCTCTTAACACTGCTCCGCAGCCGCTGTGACGTAAATGCAACAAACAGAATTGGCCGCACAGCTCTTGTCGCTGCTCTCAGAACAGGAAGGCCACCTTTTCCGCTGGCCCAGCAGCTTTTGGCAGCGCGCTGTGATGCGTCTCAACCTGATTCGGCTGGGGTGCAGCCACTGTTGCACACGGCAAGCATTCCCGAGCCTGGCATCCACACCCTGCTGCTTGCACACGCTGCCGATCCCAACGCAGTTGCGAGCCCTGCCACTGATCGGCAGGCCCGCCTTTTGCACGTTGCGGCACAGGCCAAAAACGAGACCATGCTGAAGTGCTTGCTGGAAGCTGCCGCTGACGCAAACGCACCTGAAGGCCTTGGAAGGACGGTCTTGCACCTGGCAGTTTCCCAGAGCCTTTCCAATGAAACTATGGCCGCCATATTGCATGCTCGTGGGGATCCGAATATCATGACGGGGCAAGGTTCCGGTGGCGAGACCCCACTGCGTTTGGCTGTCTTGGCCCAATCACCTGCAAAAGTGGTTATGTTGCTGGAGGCCAGAGCCAGTGCCAACGGCTGCAATTTCGCTGGCTGCACGGCTCTTCAAGCAGCTCTCTGCTCTGGCGACAGCCAGAGAATCTCTGACTTCTTGTTGGCTTCCGGCGCAGATCCTCAGTTTAAGCGCAGGACCCTCCTGACATCGCAGGAGTTTTCTCATATCAGCTCTCTAGATCTCAGTCACACTGTACCGACCGTTCCTCCCATCACGATCCAGCCTTTCAGGGCGGAGGTCACCATGGGCATACATCCCAAATACTTGGCCGAAACCTGGTCAAAGGCTAGGTTTCGTCGCCGGCGTGTAGTTCGGCCGGCGGAGCAGATCGAAGACTTCGATCCGCTTTGCCCTCTAACACTTCCACCGCTGGAGCGGAAGTTCAACCGCACGGCTCCGCGGCAGGAAAAGCTGCCGTGGAGGACCGCCTAGATCCCAAAGGGAACATCGCGGAGTTGCCACAGCGAGTTTGTTTCAAACCTGCCGACAGCTTCGGGCTCCCATCTCTGAGCTCTGGTCAGCTTCACTGAGGCTGAACGTCCGGAACCCGCAGTCGCCACCGCCTGTGGAGTACAACTATTGGAAGCCGGAGCCTCCAAGTTCCTGCGTCTTGTGCTCGAGCTGTTTCGGGACATCGAGACCGACTGCGATTATGTCATATGAGTTATGTGTTTGCGTTCTAAGTTTAGCTACTGAAAACTCGACCAGGAGCGATGGGTAGGCGTAAACGTTTCCGCTGCGTGTATGGCTCAAGCTGCGCAGAGAGACAAATAGTAGAGAGAGAGAGAGAGAGAGAGAGAGAGAGCGAAAGAAAGAGAGAGACAGAGAGATAGAGAGAGAGAGAGAAAAACAGAGAAAGAGAGAGACAGAAAAGCAGAGCAAGAGAGCAAACCGCACCAGGCACATGACCCAGGCTCACCCCGACTAGCAAGATCCATATCATCGTCCCTGTGTTCAACATGTAACATACTGCATCGTGCCGCAGAGCCCTAAACTCTAGCGGTTCTCATGCCATGCCGAAGAAGGCAGCAAAGCTGCAAGGCGATGATGGACAGGTGGCAAGCGGGCACGACATTCCAATCCTCAAAGAGTCCTGGTGTTTGGCTCGGCCAAAATCTTGCGGGGCATTTTGTTCGTCAGGTCAAGGGAAAGAAGCGGCCGATCGAGGTCTTGCAGGACGGGCCAGCTAGCAGAGGTCAGCTTCGTACCTGCCAACTTGTGCAGGGGTGCCATGTGTTCCACACCTTTGAGTAGACGGATTTTTCGTGTGAGAGGAGACTTCAGAACAGCTGGAGACCAAGCCTGCCAAGGCAAGCAAGGTCAGGAAGAAGGCCCTTCCTCGCCACTGCGCCACTTTGCCATCCTCACCATCCTCCCTTTCGAGCGGTGTTTGCAGCGGCACTGTCACCATCAGTTCAGAATAATCGAAGTGCGAACATGACCCCAACTCAGCTTTGTCTTCGCCTTTCTCCAGGTCCTGAAAGAAGATGCGCCCGAGCAGCCCACCAGTAAGATCTACATCTCAGGCGACGCTCGCCGGCTTCTGTGTTGCCACGATACCCGACACGACGAAGTCATCTGGTCAATCTGGTCCCTTCTCTGCGTGGGAGGTGTTCCTCGGGACTGCCCAGAAAGCAGCATACGAGAGAAGTTTGCCAAGTATGGCACGGTTGTGGACCGAGTAGATGATGCTGTTGTCAGTTGTGCGCACAGTCCGTACAGATGAATCTAACAGTCCTTTAAGCACAATCCGCTGGCAGGAAGTTCAAATCCCTCCGGATCGGCGGAGAAACAAGAAGCGCATCGCCTTCGTCGGCTTCGCAGAGTCCAGTGCAGCGAAGGCAAGGCCTGCACTCGGCATCGAGCTCACAGTCTTCTCGCTTCTCCTTCTTCCAGTTTTTCGGGTTTCTGCCCATGATGTCGAGAAACTAGGTGAGAACAAATTTTGCAATGTTTCCTCCCGTCTTGTGGACTGCGGCATATTTCGTTTGAGCGCAGACACAAAGGAGTGCTGGAGACCCGATCCTTTTCGAGACCATGGATCCAGCAATTCTGAAAATGCACGGTCGAAAAGCTGGTAGCAGGAGCAACATCGCTTCGCACCAAAGCAAGGCATCCAAATGTGTTTTCTGGATGTCACTGCATTTTCATCTGTGGTCTCTTTGGTGTATGCAGTACTCTAGGCAAGGCGTAGTCGTTGTATTCGTGACGGCCTGGCTCCTGGCTCTTGTCTGTTGTCTTTGTCCGAACACAAATGAAGACGAAGATGCATTCTCTAGTCCTGCTGCATCCTTGACCCTTGGCTTGTCGACCCAAAAACCCATGTTCTGATTCTGATCACTCAACTTTGACCGCAGGCAGCTCTAGCAGAGGACGGCGACTTACTGGACTCCAAGATTACGGTGACCCAGATGAACAGTATGTATTGGCGATGTTGGATGACATGGAGCTACATTTGCTCCAAGTTCTTCTGCCTAGGTCCGGCTAGCCGGGGCCAAGCCGGACCCTTCCAAGCTAAAGGATGTCTCCGAGGCAAATCTGTGCGGGTCTCTCGTGCAACCTTGTCTGATCTCCTTGTCTAGGTCCCCTCCAGCAAGGCGAAGGCAGCGAAGCTCTTCATTACAGGCCGGAATCACACTCGTACGCACCCGGCTACAGCAGTCGGGATGGATATGCATGGACTGCGTTGTTTCTGCAGTAGACTGCCCATTAATCATGTGTTGCCTGAAAGGTTTCGGAACAGATGCAGATGCTGCGGATGCGCTGAAGCAGCATCTTTCCAAGAAGTGCCTTGGCAACTTGCATCAGTTGCGACAGAGCTGTCGTCTTTAATCTTTGTGACAGGTGTGGAGAACTGGCCAGCTTCACCGTACCCAGCTCCAGGTCGGCGAAGTCAAAGGGATCCTTGGCCCCGACATCGGTAAGTGCCATGCATATTCCAGGAATCTTCATGATAGTACCGAGAATCACCACACATTCGGCTGCAGTCTCTTGGCTGTGCCGCAGTTGAAAGCTGCACCATCCATCCAAGGCGCAGCACGCGGCTTTGCCATCGTCGAGTTCGCAGAGATCAAAACTGCCAAAAGCGCTCTGAAGCTGAATGGCACCAGCCTGGGCGGAAACAAACTGGTCGCATCCTGGTCGCAGCCTTTGCTTGCGCCCACAGTCTGGTCCAGTGCAGATGTGCTTTCAATGATCCAGCAGGTTAAGAAATATGAGAAGAGCCGCTCAGATGAGAAGCAGATGCAAAAACAAGCTGCAACGAAGCAGCAGCAGTTGGAAAAGGAAAAGGCAAAGCGAGAGCACCTCAGACTTGTTTTTTGTGAGGCCAGCCTGAGCTGTGAGCGCTGCGATGAGCTGCGATGGCAGGTTCCGTGTGGTTGTGAAGGGCTTCCAAAAGTCCACGACGAGAGCCGAGCTCGAGGAGCACTTCGGATCCTGTGGAGAAATCCGGACCATTGCTCTCCCTCAGAAGGCCGCGGTTCTGTGATGATGTGTGTAGAGTTGCTACACAGCTGCTCTAGAGTCGCGACATGTTGCTCTGCAGCTCTCGCCACTCTTTTTGCAGAGGATGGCAACCCGAGAGGCATAGCTTTTGTAAGCTTCTCTTCTGAGGCACTCTGGAGAGCCAAAAGACTTCTTGCTTCGGCTGTGTCTGGCATACCTGCAAGAGGCCGCAGTCCAGGCAGCGCTAAAGCTCAATGCCAAGGACATCCTGCTTCTGACAAAGTCCCCTTCAGAGACAAAAACGGCACAGGAGTTCCAGGAGAAGCGGACCCTGGAGGTTTGGCGAGCGCTGGAGAAGAGCAACAAGAAAGGCGGGAAAGGACCTCAAACAGACGAGCTTTGCAATGTTCGTGTTTTGAACTCGACCACCTCAGAGGAACATTAGCAGGCTCCTAGGTTCAAGGGCTCAAGGGCTCAACACACGCCACTGCAATCTTCCCACTCACAGGTACCACGCCCAATGATGGCGAGTGAGCCTGGTGCAGCTTCGATTTTTCGGCGCGAGCATGTGAAAAGATACCATCCATGCATCTTGGGGCAAGTCAGAGTCTCCATCTGGAGATAGTGGCGAAGACCTCCTGCTAGATCCAGCTATAGACTCGAGCAGTTGCAGCCAGCAATATCGCACTCCTATGGGATCCTGCCCACTGCTGAGACGCATCTGTCATAATCGGTCACACCAGGTTGGAGCACTATGCCGGAAGTGGGTCCAGGGAGATGCAGACATCCGCGATCGCTCGATCTTGGGATGTCCCTCGCTCCGATTCCGATTTGTAGCGCTGCAGTACAGCATCATGTCCTTGTTCCTCTGTCTTGCTCATGGAGAACAGAACCCTCGCTGAGCCGTGAGGTCATTCCCGTGGTCTTCGACACAGGTTCTGGTATCATAGGCAGCAGCCTCAACTCAGCCATTGACATCGCCTGAGCCACGTGATCTGTGTGACTTCATGGAGCTCGGAGGCTCGCAGGAGGCAGATGTTCCAAATTTTGTACTGCACAGTTCTCCACACCACCCCGAACCTCAGGCACCATCTTAAATTGACACTACTGATGAGCACTGTGCTGCTCAGGTGAACTGAAGGGGCAAGGCGTGACTACGACCATTCAGTTCAGAATCCGCCTCAGACTCCACATTGCAATGGTTCAGATTGAAGAGCCTCGCCGAAGTTGAACTTGAAAGCGACTTGAATCGAGATTTCACCGTCGTGCAGAGCGCCTCGGAGCTCCAAATCGACGCGCTGGAGCTGCACTGAACAAAAGATAGTTCCCTACACGCACTCCACAGACTCTGCTCTCAGACTGACTAGGAGCCGTTGGGCTTCGAGTTCCAGGAGGCCTATGCTGTCGCGAACATCAGTGGCCGAAGAAGCATCCCGCAGGCCTCCCGAGTCCAAGCACAGTTGGAAGAAACAAGCAAGCGTGTCAACGGGTTGTCAGATCCTCCTGGCCTCCTGGGATGAGATCCGCCTGGTGATCCTTGCAGATAGCCTGGGTCCGAGCCTAGCGTCGCCTCTGCACTTCCTGAGATGGACCCCAGGCACTCCTCCGACACTCAACATTAACAACTGAAGTCAGCAGTTCATCGGCACTGCCGACGGATTGTGATGAGGCATACCCCAGGCAATTCTTAAACCAGACGCCGGGGCGTGAATGTAAACTCGTTGAACGCCCTCAAAGACACGGCGGCTGAGGCTTCGATGTGGTCTCTCTGACCATCGCAGATGTGAAGATTTCCGAGGTCCGGACTCAAGGTGTGCTGTCAAGAGCGAGTCGGTGAGTTTTGTCACTCAGGTCCCTGGGCCCTCCCGTTGGATGCTTTCGACTTGGGAGCTGCCGGAAGACGACCCGTCCCTCTGCATGCACTTTGATCAGATACATCAACAAACAGCTTCTGCTGATGCATGTTGCTACGAGCTGGAAGGCAAGACAGTAGAAGTCCTCGGGCTACCTCCTTTCTCCTGTCCACTGTAGCAACACTGCAACGGTGAGAAGAGATGCTTGCTCAGGGAAGGCACCCCCTACAAGCGGGATGAGGTGCACCTGCAGGCCTTGTTTTTCTGAACAACTTTCGCGTTGCTCAAGCTGGCCAACACAGCCCTCTAGACTCTAGCCTAGCGCCTTAGTGCTTGAGTGCCTGCCTGAGAGTGCAGATCATAGAGCCTTTCGAGACTGAGCTCTGGACTTGTGGTCGCTTGTCTCCTGCAGGGCTTCTTGGTGCCTGGCAGAGTGGATGCACTGGCACTCAGCAGTGGGGACTATGCAATGCACACATGTGCAGACCGCGAGTGAGAGCTGGGCACAGTGAGTTGGACAGGTCTATAATGCTTTCGGCCAAACTGGACGTGAGAACGCCGCCATTCTTGGGAGGAGCTCCGTGGCTCGTCTGCATGGATCGAACAGATGACGCTGACGTTGACCTCTGCACGTAACCTGAAATGGCCCCATCCCTTTGCAATCAGGTTCAGGGCCTCAGCAAGCCGAGTGTTTCTTTTTGCTTTTACCACCTCGTGTCACCTTCGAGGATTTGTTTTTCGACATGACAACCACGGCTCCTGTCCAAGCTGGCTCTGACCTGGTTCTGCAAGCACGAGGACGGCACGATGTGGCCATTTTTGCTTGAAATTTGTGGTCAGAGACAGCACGCTTCTTCCTTCTGTACAGAGCAGTCCAGTATGGGCAGACAGCAGTTGAGAAGCATGCGAGAAGCTTCCAGCAATGTGTTGATAATCTTCAGAGGGTGGCTTCAACGTCAACATCTAGCTCCGCGTATTCTCCAGGACTCCAGGCAGTATCCGGCGAGAACACTCTCCGAATAAAGATGGGTCCTCGAGGAGAGTTGGAGAGAGAGCAGAAGGCTTCCATGAGCGTATCACGAGCTCGAGGCTCAATCTGTCATCCACTAGTCCAGACCAGGACTGAAGGACTGAAAGGAGCAATTATGCCGACAAACAGCGGCTTGGAATACAGCTCTAGGATTCAGGTTGGCCGTTTCGCAGCGTGCCAGCTTGAGGGAGGCTGTTGCTGGACGAGAAGGGCTGTCCATAGCAACGCAGAACTACAAAAACCAGCATGGCCCCGGTTCGTTTCCGCACGGTTTCCGTGAACCGGAACCGGAATCTGTGCGGTTCGGTTCCTGCGGTTCCGGTTCTTGTGGTTCCGATTTGCGGTTCCGACGTTTCGCTATCCATAGGTGAGGCTTCTGAGTACCTGTACTGGTTTAGCTCGTCTGATTCTGTCCGTCACTATTCTCGCTTTCCCGGGCCCAAATAGTGGACGGATTTCGGGCGCGTACGGGCCGAAAATGCCAAATAGTGGAAGAATCGGTGCCCTGCTGGGTGGTACAACAGGGGGCTCCAGGACGCTGTGGGGGGAACGGTGGGTGCAAATTCTTCCGCATTTTGGGCACGTATGGGATGGAAGCGCCAAATAGTGGAAGAATCGGTGCCCTGCTAGGGGTGGTAGCTTCCAAGCCCCCAAATTGAGCTTTTTGGTCACAGACCTCGAGAACCAGCCAAAATTGTGTTTCCAGGCCTTCCACGCCCCCTAGGTTGGGCTTTTCTTTTTGTCTGTTACCAGCCGCCTCGCCTCGCAAAAAAAAAGTTCTTACGTTTCCAGACCCTCTTCCAAGCCCCCTAATGTCTCGGAGACAGAGAGAAGAGAGCGCGAGAGAGCGAAAGAGAGCGACAGAGAGCGAGAAAGAGCGAGAGAAAGACAGAGAGAGCGACAGAGAGAGCGTCCTGGTGGAACGAGAGAGAGAGACGGTTTAGGGTTTAGGGCAGACTTTGGCGACACGACCTTGGGATGTTGCTTTAGTTTCCAGGATCAGACGTTCTCTCCCTGAGGTTCGCCGCCGGGTCCCCGACCTCCCTTTCCTGGAGAACTTCGACGAGGAGTCCAGGCGTAAGATCGCTTCGCTCCTCGACTCTTACCAGGCCGAAGAAACGGCCCGGGCCACGGAGCATTTCCAGAATATGCTCAAACATGACGAGGCCAAGATTCGTTCCTTTGCCCGAGCTCATGCTGACATGCAGTTGGAATGGGAGCGTGAGCCTCCCTCTGTGGACACAGTTAGTCAGGCTAACCATCCAGCCATCGCAGTGGAGCAGCAAGCCAAATCGTGGATCAAGGCATCGGGCACGAAGCCGTCTCCGGTGTCTCCTCAAGTGGACAACATCCTGCAGGACATCCCTTGACCGCCGTGCATCGGGGAGCGTTGCTTCTCATTCACGGCCCAGAACCTTCGATCGGCCACTGCCTACATGAAGGGCAAAGCCGCCGGCAGCGACGAATGGCGACCAGATCACCTTCTCCTTTTGCCCGAGACATGGTGGCAGATGGCAGCGGCTCTCTGGCAACAGATCGTGACGAGCGCCCAGGTCCCCGACCAATGGAGACGGGCCAAGGTGGTTCTTCTCTGGAAACCCAAATGGGGCACACGACCGATATCATTGTTACCGGCCCTTTGGAGGGCGGGAGCGCGCGTTTTGCAACGGCAGCTCCGCCCGTGGGTCTCTTCGTGGACGTGTCATCACACTGCTGGGATGCCTTGGACTTCGGTCTTCGGGGTGCTGGCACAGCTGCAGGCTGCCGTGGCCAGAGGCAGCAAGGCCATTGTTCAGCTCGACGTCGCGCCTTCTTTGATTCGGTGAGCAAGCCTAATTTACGGAAGGCTTTGGAGCACCTTCGCGCTCCCAGTTGTCTCGTCCGGCTCATTGACAACTTCTACGACAAGGCAGAGAGGGTCTTCTGCCTCCAAGGGGCTTTCTCTGCAACTTGGCAACAGGTGTTCGCTGGCATTGCTCAAGGATGCCCACTGAGTCCTCTCTTAGCTGGGACCTTTACATACCTTTGGGCATGTTATGCTTTCCAACAAACTTTGTCAAAACAAGTGGGCGGTTGCGGTTACGTAGATGATCGCACCCTTTGGTTGGAGCCACAGGCTTCCCTTGAGAGCCTGCGCACGGCGCTTAGCCGAACTCTTCGTTTCGACTCTGCCTTCGGTTTCCAATCAGCTTGAAAAAAAGTGCGCCGTTACCGCGAAGGACCCTCCGCAGGAGGCGCACCGGCTCGCCAACACGTTCGGCTTTCAGGTCACGGACGAGTCGGAGGTCCTTGGGGTTGGGATTCCGTGGCAGGGGCCCTGGCACCTCAGCAAATGGCCTACTCGACTGGCTCAACTTTGCCTCCGGTTTCTTAGCTGGCCTCAGGCAAGCCAAAGGATCCAGCTCCAGCTGATTCGCAGCTTGGTGTTGCCGTGTTATTCCTGGGCGGCTGCTTTCGCTGTGCCCAAAGCCGGGGACCTCCAGACGGTCCGCAACGCCGTGATCGAGAGCTTCAACATGCACTTCAAGGTGGATGCGGCCCGGGCTCTCCTGTTTGAGCACACGGGATGGAACTGCGAACCCCACTTTGCTGTGCACCTCGCTGCACTAAGGCATCTTTGGCGGTCTATCACGATGGCCCCACTGTGGCTCGACACCTTGCCGCTGTCCCAGGCTTTTCCGGACTGGGCCAAGGTGCTCCCTAGGCTGGGTCGCTGCTGCATCGGCTTGGATGGTGGCTGGAGAGAAGTGACAACAGGGGCCAGCCCGGTCACTCCATTCGCTGGAGCCTGTGCAGAAGAGGGGTTGATGATACCCCTCGCGTCATCCAGGTGGGCTTCGATCACTTCAATGAGGTGCGGCTTCTTCTTCAGCAGGGCGGATCCAGCGACGCTTTCACCGAGATGATCGGATCTGGCAGTTGGTCTTGACCTACCTGCACCAGCAGAACACTTCCACTTTGGGGGACACCAGCGTCTGTTCGGGACGGGGTCACGGTTCACCAAGTATGTGGCCGCGGCTTTCGGGGGCAGCATTTGGTACATGAGCGCAGTCAAGCAGTATGAGCGTGGAAATCCCAGACAGGACCCTTCCCGCCCACACCGTACCTGGACGTGTAACCACACCGCTGCCTGCAGATAAAGCCTGTGTCAGGCGATGTCCGCCCCCAAAATTGTGTTTTTAGCCTTTTCCAGGCCTTCCGCGCCCCCGAGGTTGGGGCTTTTCTTTTTGGCCTGTTACCAGCCCCCGCCCGCAAGCCCCCCGCCCAAAAAAAAAGAAGGGCTTTTCGGCCTTTTGCAGGCCCCAAAAAATTTAGTTCTTACTCCCCAAATGGAGCTTTTTGGCCTGTTACCAGGCCCTCCCCAGCCCCCCAAAATGGGTTTCAGCTTGACCTTTTGCCAGGCCCCGTCCAGTTCCGCATTTCGGGCGCGTACGGGCCGGAAAGCCAAATAGAGGAAGAATCGGTGGTCTCGGAGACAGAGAGACAGAGAGACAGAGAGCCGTAGCCATTTTGGCTCAAGTGGCTCGCAGGGTTTAGTTGCCTGTGCCGCCATTGCTGGACTCCGACACCGAAGAGTTTGCGCTCTACCAGCCCACCGCTCCTGCCGCGGACCTCTTTGTGCAACGTTCCTCAAGGGCTTCCCCCCCGAACCTTAGGAAGATTACCAATCGCTTCCTGCCCGGCTCCTACAGATCCTCGACCTCTTTGAGAAGGCATCGACCCTGCCGGGGGACTACCTCGATCGCCGAGTACTTCAAGGTCGGGTCCGTGATAGTGGCAGGGAAACCGTGAATAAATTGAGTGCGCAGCTCAACTTCCTCCTTCTGGACATCATGGATTCCGAGAACAGTGGAAGAAAGATGAAAAGGGGGCGAGTTCTCTTTTTCCCCTAGATTGCTTTGCCTGAAGCAGAGAGACAGAGCAGGAGTATGGCAACCAGACCTGGACAGAAGGACGAAAAGAAGTGAGCCGAGATGAGGCGAGTGAGGCTTCCGTTCTTTTTTCAGTTTGCCCCAATGGGGACAACCCCAAAATGTACCATACAACTCACAATGGGGGCAACCTCAAAAGTCGCTCCTCTGTGCACTAGTGTTGTAGGCTTCAGGTCTGTTTGAGCTTAGGTTCTTGGCTTTGCGCTGTTTCAGTTTCAGCGACAGTGGCTAACCCCTGGTACTGACCTGCACGTATTGCCTAGATTCGCTCTGCACCAACAAACTTTTCTCCATCCTCGAAAGTTCTGATATGGGGTCTACCCCAATTTGCCAATTTGTTTAAGTACACTAGACGGGCCGCTGGAGCCTCCAAAACTCTCTCCTTCCGCCCCCGCTCTGGGGCCCTGAGTTTTCTCATGTACAAAACTAATTACTTGGTCAGTTCCTTTTGGGGGATTTTACCTCACTTTCAGCAGCCAAGGCATCCTGCTTCGTTCGTAGTTGTAAATATTTACCTTCTGCCTTTCCAGGTGTGCTATTGGTTTCCCCTGCAAGAGTACATGTTTGTTTAAATCACGATCTAGGCAGAAGTTGCCTTCATGGTGTGCTGCCGTAAACGACATAGGCAAAACTTGCCTCGGTGTCGTGTGTTTTCTGTCAGCTCCCTCCGCAACAGTCGGGGGCGCCAACGGCGCGCGGGCAGAGGGGGAAACCTCTTTGCCCCTAGCCCTGCCGAAAGAAAGAAAGACAGAGAGACGAGAGAGCGCGAGAGAGAGCGAAAGAGAGCGACAGAGAGCGAGAGAAAGACAGAGAGAACGAGAGAGAGAGCGTCCTGGTGGAACGCGAGAGAGAGACGGAGACAGAGAGACAGACAGCGCGATAGAGTGCCAGAGAGAGCGAGAGAGAGCGAGAGAGAGCGAGAGAGAGAGACAGAGAGAGAGACAGAGAGAGAGAGAGAGAGAGCGAGAGGAACCTTTTTCCGGTTCGGTTTCCAGGGTTCCATTGCGGTTCGGTTCTGCGCAGTGGGGTTGTTGCGGTTCCGGTTCTGCAGTTCCGGTTCGGTTCCACGGCCTTCCTGATTCTAAAAACTGTCGAGCTCTCGTTTCAGCCGCACCTGGCTCCCAATCTTTCCAAGACCGTTGATCGTTGCCTTGCGGCAGGTGCTGGGCCGGATGGATTCAAACTGCCTGCGACCCAAGCTTGCAGGACAGCTGAGGAGTTTCCAGGGGAGGGGTGCTTCTGTGGCGTCATTGGGATAGCTTTGGCAGGTGCAATCCTGTTGTTAGGGCCACGCATGCCACCCCTTACACCCGGAACACTGCACCCCAACTCGTAGGCCCAAATAAATGCTCATCAGACTTGGAAGTCAAGCCCAATCGCACAAGCAAAACGCTTTTTAAGGTTCAGTGAAGGAGCAGAATTATGGACGCTCGACAGTGAAGGGGCCAGGATCTCATCGCAAGATGTGCAGACTGTTGCACATAGACATGACATAGCGGTTGCAGCTGTTCTGCACCCTTTCGCTGTGCAAGGTCAACGTGGAAAGAAAACTGGGGCAGTGGTACTGCGAAGACATGCCGCTGAGCTGATATTCACTTGTTGTGTGTCCCGCGAAGCTGGGCAAAAGAAAGTGCTTGTAAGGAGGAGTCTCTTTGATCCGGACAACGAGACTGCCATGAATTTGACGAAGGCAAGCTCGTAGCTCATGGGCTTGCCCTTGTGCGTTGTCCCAAGAGCCCTAAGCTTCTGTCGAGGACATGTATCTGCCGCATCGTTCAGCCTGCGAGTGGGACACTACACGTGAAGACCTGGTACGCAATTTCGATCGCAGCTCGCAACTCAGATCCAGCGTGAACGCGTAGCTGGACCGTGACAAGTTGATTTTGACGTCAAGGTGATCCGAATGCGACTCGGGTGGCGGACACGTTCTCGCCTGAGCCATCACTCAAGACTGTTCAGTCCGTGATCACCAGCTCTGGTTGCTCGAGGTTGGTGCTTCGAATCAACGAGGCAGCGCCGGTCGCCAGCAGTCTCCGGCTGAGGTTTCAGGCCGGGACCGGTTTGAGGCATGCGACCTCTGCGGGGTCAGTGCTGGAGGTACAGACGCCGGAGGACAGAACAAACTTCCTGGAAGAACGTATGCTCCTCAGCCGGTCTGGCTGTGAAGCGCCGCATGCATGTCAGAAACTGATTGGCATCCTGCTCTGTGAAAGTCGGCGGCTGGCTACCAGCATGCCTCATCCGAAAGATTCGCAAGCCTCACCGTGGCACCATGTGCGCATGGCTTAGTAATGTTAAGATGCTCTGGTATATGCTCAGGCTGGCACTTGACTGTGCAGCTGTACAACGAGAGCACGTCGGTGCTTGAAATCATCGCCACCAACGATGGGGCGGCTCAGATTCAAATTTGGTCAAGTGTTTCGGGAATTGCTATTGTTGTTCGTGGAGTGTTTGAGCATGGAAGGAAGGCAGGAGGAACAAGGAAGGACAGAAGGAAACAAGGCAGAGAGAAAAGCAAAAATAAAAGAAGGAGGTGAAAGGCCGGAGGGAAGACGGTACTGGCGCACAGCCGCGATGGTGTCCGGGAGCAACAAAGTCGCAATTTGCAGGCCTCTTTTCGGCAAGCTGTTGGGGAATTTCTATGTGAGTCAGAATTCACCAACAGCTCGTCTCACATCAGAACCCTGCCCATGGAAACTCCCTTTTGATGCAAAACAGGACCTCTGTGTGGTCAAGCACGCTGTTTTTCTTCGTGTTGTCTGGAGCCATCGAGGCGCCGGTGCCCCTCTCCGTGGTCACACAATTGCCCACCGAGCCGACGCCAGAGCCCTCGCAGCTCGCGCCCCTGGCACGGGCTGAGGCCCCGCGCTCTTCCAACAGTCTTCATGTCCTGCAGAGTCCTCTTCACACCGAAGTCTTCCATCAGGTGGTCTTCATGTTGGACCCGTTGGACACTGGTGCCGAGGCTTTTGTTCTCACGGCTCCGCCATGGCCCCGGAAGCCCACGGCAAGGCACATGAAGTGCGCGATGCCCTACACAAGTACTTAGCCTGTTTACATCAGAACAACGACATATCCATCAAACTGCAGTGCACTGAAGTACTGGGCATCGATATTCAGCCAACGGCTCGATTGTAAGCAGCTCCTTTCAGGGCACGTGTCTTTATTGCGCCCTGCTTTCTTTGCCGCAGCTTCCTGCAGTCCGCAGGGGTGAGGGGTTGAATGCCCCATCATGCCGCGACCCACCCGAGATGGTAAGCCATCCACGGGTGACATCCGTGCGGCGCTGGCGTCCCTGAAAGAGAATCAGGACCCCGCGGCAGTAGAACGGACCCCATTAAGGTTCTCACAAGCCTTTGAAATCCTTTGCGTCCGACTGAACATCCAGGAACAGTCGCTGGCAGCTATCGATGCACTTCTACGATCGGTAGAGGATGTGGAGGCAGAGCCCCGGAAGCTGGAAGCTCCGGGCCAATCCATGGCTGTCAAGTTCAAGACGGACCTAGTTGAGGAGCAGGACACGAAAGTTCAGCTAACTTTACCGGAACTCCCAGATGCTGCGAAAAGGAACCTCGGACCGCATGCCACGCCGATCCACCGCTTACTGTGCTTGCTGCGTTACTGCTGGCCCCGGCTCTCGCTGGCTGCTGCTACTGCTTCTTGCAGGTCGCACGTCTGCCTGTGCATGGGCACGTTGACAAAGTGCAGCCCTTGCGTTTTTCTGTGATCAAAGCAATGGGTACATGTTTGTCATGCAGTCATGCAGTTGTCATCACGTGAAGCATCATTATATCCGGTATGTAGCAGAGTGAAGACATAAAGCATTGCATCGTTGCCTGAGAGCCCTGTTGCATTGGTTCACAGCCGAGGAAACCTGAGCAGAAAGGCGACAGCATTTCAAAGCTGACGGAGAAGGGCCGGAGCCTCACCACGCTCCACGTGGGCCTTGCCTTTGCTTTGCCTTGGCTTGCAGGTTCTAAGTTTGGAAGCCTGATCAGCGGCGACGATGCTGACGAGACTGCCGAGTCGAGTACGGTGCGTGCATGGTGCAAGTGGATGCTCAACCAGCCTCAGTTTGACTGGACGATGGGTGCAGGAGTTGCAAAAGTTGCATATCATCCGCCTTTGCAGAGGTTTCAGCAAGTGCCAGCAAGACACTGACAGTGCAACGGTAGCACAGTGTTGCTTTGTGGAACCGGTGCTGATGCTGGCATTGTATCATGAAGCCCATTTCGTGGGAGCAAAATTTTGCACTGCACTGTGCAACTCGGGGGGAGGCGGAAGCACGAGTCGCCATAGGAGCACGCGCCGTCACGCACGCCGTCGCGCACACCGTCACGCAGACGCGTATACGGCCGTTATGCCACGGAGCGGGAGCCGCCGAGCGGTATTCGCCGCACCTAGGAGAGGGCGCTCGAGTCGCTCGAGACTGCTTGGATGGTTTATTTGCTTGTTACTTCTGGTTCTACAAGTAGTTGGGGAAGATGTGGGGGGGGGGGTGGGGGGTACATGGGCAACCAGAGCTACCGTGCCGGGCAGATCCTGTCCAGCTCCTGTCCAAATGGGTGAGGCACACGTATGTGCCAAGTCCGTAAATGGTTTTGTGATGTGGCTCTTGTAACCCAACAACAGTCATACATCAATTTTGTCAGACATTCGAACAATGTCCCCTTCGATTGATCGGCACGACAGTTCAGCAGCGATGAGCGTTCCATGTTCCGAGTCAGCTTCCTCCTACACCTTCGATGAATCTGCGGTCAATGCCTTTCGCATATATTGCAGCTTCGGATGCCTACCACTAGGGGCAACGGACATGCGAAGTGCCTAAGACCGCACGCCCATGCAGCAGGTGCCGTCATCTTCTTGAACTCCCTCGCTATCGGAATCGAAACCGAGAATTCCATCAGCAACGAGTGGGTTCCAGATTGGCCTCGCCAGGCACAGGGGCAGAAACAGTACCATTGTCTGCAGCTGATTGGATGAGTGTGAATTAGCGGTCGTATGAGTAGTGCTGTTCGAGTTGGAAAGGGCTTGCCTTTTGCTCCCAGCTTGTTTTGCCTCCGCATCTCCGGGTGGCATGCTGGTAGGAGCTCGATTATGTGTTCATAGTGATCTATGTGGTGGAGATCAGCATCCGACTGACTGCGTACGGAAGAAGTTGCTTCAAGGATGGCTGGCTGCTTGGCTTGTGCCTTATGCCAAAGAAATCAAACTCTGGATAACTCTATCGCTTGGAAGCCGCTGAAATGGGCACGGCATGGATAAGCAAGACGAGCAACTTTGATGTTGAGGATGCAGGCATCCTCGCAGATGTGAATGGATCAAAGCCTGCAACATTTCTCTTGCTTTTAGAATGCAGAAGTCGTACACCCGCGTCTGAGGTTCATCTTTGATTTCTCCTTAGTGTGCATGGGTGTGTTCTTTATTATTGTCGATCCGATCATCCAGAGCATGTCGTCAGAGTCAGGCCGCTTCGGTAGCAATTCTACCTTGGGACACTGGGAGCAAAGTGGCATGCATTTCCAAAGCCAAAGGTGGGGACAACTTTTTAACCAAGATCTTGGTTGTACGCTCCTTGCGACTTCTCCGGCTGGTGCGAGCGGGGCTCCGAGCTAAAGCTTGGCCTTTCAGGGGCGTGCGCGGACACGACAAGTGATGGCAGACCCCTGCGCGCTGCACCACCAAGGCAGTCAGGATGCTACACATGTTCAGAACAGTGTGGCGGCTAGTATACGGCTTGATCACCTCTGGCAACGCCATCATGTCCACATTCTTCATCCTCTTCCTCACCCTCTACATTTTTGCTTGTCTAGGCCGGACATGTGAAGAGAACTTGGAAGAGCCGGAGTGGTCCTTGCTGTCTTGATGTGAGCTTCGCGAAGTGTGACAGGAGTGGAGCTGATTACGAAGGATCCACAGCTTCAGCAGCATGCCGATACAAAGTTCATCGTCGATACGAACTTCAGGAATCTTACCAGGACAACCTCGCTGTGTGCTTCACTTGTGTTGGCACGTAGCCGTCTGCTTCCTTAGCTTCAATCAGTTTCTTTTCGCTTGCACACGGACTAGGCTTATAGAGGTGAGAGACATGTCGCTAAGCTTCGCCAGTACCTTGCTCACGCTGATCGCCTGGGTCGGAATGGACTCTATCTCAGCTGTGTCCGGACCTCGAAGTGCAGAAAGATAGCCGCACAAGGAGGGCAGTGTACTGAATGCAAGAGTTGCAGGAATGCTTGCACTACTACTGTATGAGTCGTTGACCGGCGCAAGTGTTTTTGCATGTTTCGAGCTGAATGCTGGAAGTTCCCTGCGCATCCGTAAGCCCGCGTCCGCGACGGAGGGCTCAACGTGGACCAAGGTACTTTCCACTGATCCAGCAAAATCCTTTTCTCATCTTCTACTTCGTGCCGATCATCCTCATGGTTTCGGCTGCTTGGATTGAGGCAGTCTCCGCAGGGTCCCTCTTTCCTGCAAGATCCGAGGTGGCCCTCATGAATTTGGTCTGTATCTCAGGGCAAGGGCTGTGCTCAAAGAGAATACCAGGCAGTGTCAGCTTCGCAAGAAAGGTCACGGCAGTGCTTGTCGAGGGTGCTCTCGCCAATGCAGCCAATGACAAGGAGTTGAGTCGGCACGACATGAAGCAAACAGCAGCTGTGATCCTTATGCCTTATCAGTCTTATGAGCTCCGAGTTCTGGGTGTGGAATCGAGCCCTCCTGGCCCTGACCTGCTCAGGTAAAGAAGTTTGCACCGAAAATTATGGAGGCTTTGTGCGGTTGCCAGGGGATTGTGGCATGACTACCACGTCGAAGCTTGCCTCGCCCTCGCTTCAGGTCTTCTCGTCAATTGACACTGACGGAAATGGTACTTTGGAAAAGGACGAGCAACAAGGTAGCAACTGGTCGTTTGTGTTCAAGCCACACAACTCTCACATATGAATTTGAGGACAATGCAAAACTACATTCAAGCAACGACCACTGACGACCCGACCCATCCAATACCGACACCTGACTTGTCGGTCTAAGGCTGTCAAAGATCCAGCTGAGTGACCTCCCGTTCGAACTGAGCATGGAACAGGTGGACAACTTGGAGGACGCATGACGCAGAATGGCACTGTGCCACTCCATGTGCGGAGCCTGTCATGCCTGTGCCGAGTGTCTTCATCGCCTTGTGGGGCTCTGCAGCTTATCCAGTTTCCTAACGGCTGTGAGCTGTCCTGTGCAGGACCTCTTCGACATGCTGGATGTGGAGGGACGGGGTGAGATCTCCCAGGTCGAGTTCGCTGACGGGCTGCTCAATCTGCTAACGATCCTAAGCTGAGATGTGACGAAGCAATGTGTGGTAGCAACAGCATGTGATTGCTGCCACGAAGGAATGATGTTCCCATTCACCAAATGAAAACATTCAAGCTGCTGCGCCTTGCTTGGAATGCTTGACATGCTTCCTTTGCTTGCCACTTTGTCCCTGCCAACATAAGCATGCTAGGCCGCGAGGCATTTTTGCTTTGGGTCACATCTCCAGGCAGCTGAGCGCCAAAGGCCTCGAGCGTGTGGAGAACAAGCTCTTCTCGATGGAACAGATTTTGCTTCGAAGGCGCTGATCATGCTGTGTCACAGACCTAGTCTTCGCGTCCTACCGGGGTTCCAGAAGTCACCTGAGGAAGTGACGACCTCTCGACACATCAGCAGGGCTGAGCAAAGATGTGCGCGGGCTTTTCGATTTGTGTGAAGATCTTGAACGAACGCAAGTTCTAGCTTTTGCCAATGTGCATGTTATGTTTGCAGTACTAGTAACTAGTAGCAGACTGACAGAAACTGAAGCTGACTTTTCTGATGGCAAACCTGTAGGATTTTCCTAGCAACCGTGATGGCATGTCTTCGGCGAGACTGGCTGTCAGTTACCGTGCTTGAGGTTCTGACAGTACTGTATCTTGCCTTTACATGTTGCCGACTGGAAGTTTGTGTGTTAGGATGCAGCTGCAACTGTTGTACTTGCCAGACGGCATTGCGCTGGCATTCGCTTCATGCTTGCAGAACTGCAGCATGTCCCCAACGCATTTGTTTCACTGGTCATAGCCCAGAGCACCAACCTCCGGCTCATTGCCGATGCTGAGCGTGTGACCGCGAAGGTTTCGCTTGCAACTCCTGAAGGTTGGACAATCTGGTTTTGGCAAAGGGATGGTCCTGGCCACATCCAGCGCAGAAAGGATTCGATTCGGTGGCAGTGTGATGAGCCTTTTTCCGTGTGTCTTCCTGCCTCGGAGCTTTGTCCACGTGCTTGGTCTCAGGCTTGGCTACACCTTCGTTCACCCCTGCCGCGTTCCTTTCCAGGACCGTCTCTGCAGTCTTGAATCTTGACGAGGACGGCTGTACCGACTCTATACACTGCCTGAAGTCCGCAGAGTCCCACAGTCGTGTGAGCTGCATGCCGAGCATGCCGACGAATAAATTTGACTCATTGCCGCATGCACTAGCCTCACCAGCCTCAAATCCTCGCTTCAATGCGTGGGGGCGCAGTGTATCAAGTTTTGTGAGGAGAACCAAACCAACAACGTGGACGAGATGCGCCGATGCCCGAGCTCGGGGTGTTTGATTCGACTTGATTTGTTCCGATGTTTTTGAGGCTGCTTGCCACTGCCGGCCGCCAATGGCCTGAGCCGTGCTCGTGTGGACTGTGAGGCTTCAAAGTGCTGGCGCATGCTGGAGCCCTTGTGGAATTTTCGGTTTGACAAGTGGGCGCCAGGTTGATCCAGCTCTCCGCTTGGTGGCAGGTTTGGGCACAGAGTGCCTTCGTAATGCCTCCGGCTGAGTCTTGATGAGCATTGCAGCTGACGGTGTGCGACGGTACGTGCAGCTGCGTTCTGAAAGCAGACCAGTCAGGCACCCACTGTTGTGTACGTGGCGTCGTCGAAGCCTCACTTGATTGCCGGTCGTGACTGTTCTGTAGACCTGAGTGTGAGAAGGCCAGAGGCAACCGTGCCAGACGCACAGAACGTTGCCGTCTCAGCCGTCAGCCAACTCGGGCCAAAGCATGCTTTCCGTTTGGTTCCAGGTGTGGTTCGTCGAAGCTGTCGCACTTGTAGGTGGGGGAATGACAGTGAGTGAGACATGCTGAGACTTGCATGACTGGCACAGAGCCAACTGCCTCAGTAACTTGACTTCGTAATGTATCTTTCCCCAATATGGGGCCGAGCTACTCCTTCCCTGCAAACATGAGGATTGGAAATCCACCTCCAATCATGCCCAGCAGGAACCAACTACACTTCGGTAGGGGATCGGCTTGGAAGAGTCATGCTGGCCAGATTGGGATCAACCTTTGGCTGATCAAGCAAGGGAGTTTTTTTCTTTTGTTTTTTTTTGTTTTCTTTTTTTTGTTGGCCTGCGAGGGGGCAGGAGGGTGGGGTGCAGGGGTTGCAGGGGGCCCGGGAGCTCGCGGGGTGTGAGGCGGGGGCCCAAGTCTTTACGTGCGAGTGGGCTTCGAAGCAATATACAGGTGGAAGCAGCATACCGTATTGACATGATCTAGATTTAATGAGATCTGCCATATACTGAAATTTTTATCTATCTATCTTAGATTGAAATGAGTTGAGTATGATATGTTTTCGAACTTTTGCATCAATAATAACTCCAGTTTTGTTAATACCGCAACATATGTTACAATGCAGTCTAATGATGTAATAAAAGGACTAGTGTTGGCCATCTGAATACTATATCAAGAATATGCAGAACTTAAATGGTTAATGTATCACTAGACAACTAGTCTTACTGACGGTTATTATTTACAGCAATACTTTCAATGTTAGTTTCTATTCTGCTATGGTACGAAACACTAACAGTATATTATACCATAAAACCTTACAGCATATGAGATACAGCATATGATGTTTTAGTCTTTTCTGTCTGATATTACTATGTTATACTACATGGTCATGTTTGATTTTTTATAACATAGAGTATACATACATATACAATATATATATAATATAAATAAATAAATAAATGAATAAATATATATGTATACTGTATTATATTACATGTGTCGTTGTATTTCGATTAGAGTATTTATGTAAGATCTCATACTGTGTTATATTATGACATTTTGTTTTATATCATAACACTGAACCACATTATATTATAATAGATTTTGTTATACCATCTGATATCAGGTGGCCTTTAAATCATATTGTACATGTCATATCATACCATACAATCACACGATACTGAATAATCATATGAAGTGCATATTAAACGTGTACAAAACCATTCAATAGCAAATAAACTTCATAATATCACAGCACATAACGAAATACAACATAGTGTTAGTTAATGCAAAAACTGTAATCTACAACGGCATGTTAGAACACAGGGTATGTAATTCAATAGATAATGATAAAACATGACAGAATAGAACATAGTGTAACCTGATATGATGTAACCAATATAACATAGCATCGTATACCCAAGCAGAATAGAATGACACAGCATATGCTGGATATAATATGCCATAATGTTTCATGGTATAGTATCCTATTTTGTACCATCGCAGAATAGAAACTAGTATTTAAGTTTTCAATATGAAATAATAACCCGTCAGTAAGAGTAGTTGTCCATTAATATGTAGTTGTCCATTAATATGTTAGCCATATAAGTCCTGCAAAATCTTGATATAGTATTCATCTAAACATACAGCAGCTACTAGTCCTTATTATATAACATTAGACTGAGTTGTAATATATTTGCAGTATTAACAAAACTGGAATTGATTATGGATGTAAAAGTTCGCACAATATCAATACACATATCATATTGAATTTTAGGATTGAAAATACAATTTCTATATGATAGATTTCATCACACCTAATCAATACGGTATGTTGCTTCGATGCCCACTTGTAAGTAAAGACTTGGGCCTCCA